TGAATGTCATCATACGCCACATACTCGCGTGAAAAACCTTTTTAGCATTTTCGAGGAATTCATTGGTTTTGTGGTCATTATATGTGTCTATTTTGGTGCCGAAAGCACACGAAGCGATCACATCCATTGTTAGGCTTCCCATCGTTTTCTTCATCTCCACGTCTTCTCCAGTCATGGCTTTGGTCTCCAAATAGTTGTCTAATCTGTGGACACAATCAATGATAATGGGATGCATTGACCGCATCTTTCCGCTCGAAAACGTCGGACTTATCTATTGATTGCGTTATTATTAGTATTAATTAATTAATAGTTATTTAAATACAACTCACAATCGATCGCATAGTCTTCCACTCGTCTCCCATCAGATTAGTCAACGCCCTGTCGTTCAGGATATCATTGAATAAGAAATCATTTCGGTTTACAAATACGTGAAAGTCCTTTATATTCATGTCTTTGATCAGCTCCGGGTCAGTTACCATCAGTATCGGTTGAGTGCCAATAAATGTGCTGTATATTTGTTAATCAACATATTTTACAAAAATAGTTTTATACAAAAATCAGCAAATTAAACTCACCCATATATTTTTCCATATTTCCTATAATTATCCAGGCCAACTTCAGCCATGGGCCTTTTAAACATTTGCCATATAGTGCCAAATAGTGGGACAGGTTTCGGGCCATTGATTCCCCGGGAACTCCAGTATTTGAAATTCCGGGTCAAATAGCTAATAATAATTTTAAAAATGCATATTTTATATCAAATAATAAGTTATTTATATTAAATCTAAAAACTCACTAATAAAGCACAAACAATACACTTAATAATGAAAACAATGTTTTCAATGAAAACAAGAATCCTAGCAACATTTTTAAAGCTTGTATTTATTATTTATATTTTATATCAACTGTATAAGTCTAATATTTTGAAAATTATAATGTATAAAGCTTGCTTATATACCCTTTAACTCAGTCTGTGTTTACAAAGTGTTATCTACATTACGTAATCAGTTTTAATGAATACTTGAATCAATTGATTTCAAAATCAAGGACAGACTACTTGACATATCCTGATAGCTTCAGTATATTAAGGGCTGTTATCGGTACATAATGGGCAGATTGCTATCAAATTTAATTTAATATTATCTCTACAATACAATATAAATTTTTACTATTATTTAAGAATTTAATTGAAGTTTATTAATGTATTATAGAAAATAATAAAACTATATTTTTATTATGTTTATTCTAGCAATTCTGTCACCTGGTCACATTTATCGGAAGGGTACTTTACATATACATTGATAGTGTACAGCGCTTTCCACTTAATAGATGATCTTGCTATTTTTTAATCAATTTTGGACAACTTTTCGTTACTTATTTTAGTTGAAATTTAAAGTTTGTCTATTAAATAATAAATACCGGTATATCATATCTTTTGAAATACAGCATAATTTAAAAAAACTTAAATATTTTACTTTAGTATTCAAAAAACTTAGCTTTACTTAATTAATAGATTTTATACATTTAGAAATAAACAGTTTATTTAATTGACTAAAACTATGAAATACAATATCAGTAGACAACTAGTATTACAAGTATATTAAAGTTAAGATCATAAATCTAATGTTATTTATAAAATATGTTCAATAAATTATGCCATATTTGATTGCATTACATGTTTACATAAATCAACACTTTCCGTATAATTAATGACAAAAAATGATTTCCAATTTATATTCTACCTTGATTATGTGGTTAAAAATGTTGTGGTTTTCTATGTCTGAGTTTCTATCTGTATTTCTATGTCTACGGCGCCGGTATTCAAGTGATAAACGTGTCGACGGCCAGGTAGTGGTCATAACGGGTGGGAACAGTGGTATCGGCAAAGAAACCGCATTTCAACACATTACAACTGGATTTGTGTTCACTTCAATCGGTCCGCCATTTCGCCAAAGAGTTGTCTCAATTGGAGTCCAAAGTGGATATCCTTATCAATAACGCCGGGGTTATGATATGTCCTGAATGGCAGACCACAGACGGCTTTGAGATGCAGTTCGGGACCAATCACTTGGGTTTGGGTTTAAAATTACTATATGATTGCAAATTATATAATATTATAGTTATAACATAATAATAATTAAACTTAACTTTAATTTACAGAATAGCCAAAAATCATAGAAATTCAAATGTCTGAGTTTCTATCTGTATTTCTATGTCTACGGCGCCGGTATTCAAGTGATAAACGTGTCGACGGCCAGGTAGTGGTCATAACGGGTGGGAACAGTGGTATCGGCAAAGAAACCGCATTTCAACTCACGTTAAGAGGGGCTAAGGTTTGGGCCATTCATGCAATTCATTACAGATTTCTAAATTTATATCACATTTCAGGTGTACATCGGGTGTCGGGATATGAGGAAAGGAGATATGGCTGTCCACGACATTCAGGCAATGAATCCAAAGGCGGACATAACTGCATTACAACTGGATTTGTGTTCACTTCAATCGGTCCGCCATTTCGCCAAAGAGTTGTCTCAATTGGAGTCCAAAGTGGATATCCTTATCAATAACGCCGGGGTTATGATATGTCCTGAATGGCAGACTACAGACGGCTTTGAGATGCAGTTCGGCACCAATCACTTGGGTTTGAGTTTACAATTACTATAAAATTGCGATTATAGTTATAACATAATAATAATTAAACTTAACTTTAATTTACAGAAAAGCCAAAAATTATAGAAATTCAAATACCTTTGTCCCAAACATTATCATAACAACATTTTAGACAAACTAAATTATAAAACTTAAAACACGTTTATAAATAATGAATTTAAATTTAAATTATTTGATATTTTATATGAAGGAAAATGTTGATATTTAATGAATTATTTGTACCAATTTTAGGTCACTTTCTATTAACACTGCATTTAATACCACTAATGAAAAGCCCAACAAAAGCTCGTATAATAAACTTATCGTCAGTTTTCCACACAATCGGCGAAATTAATTTCCAAAACATAAACCTCCGGAACGGCGCCTATAATCCATACCAGGCCTACGCTAACAGCAAACTGTGCAATGTCATTTTCACCAAGCAATTAGCCACACGCTTGCAGGGCACCGGTATCACCGCCTATTGCCTGCACCCGGGGGTTGTTAAGACACAACTTTTTCAGCACAAACTTTGGGCACAATTTTTGATACACTTATTATTTATGAGTCCAGAGATGGGATGTCAGACCACACTCTACTGTGCATTGGATGACCAGTTGGCCAATGAGTCCGGCTTTTATTACGAGTAATACTCATATATTATTGGATTTTAAATGTAATTAATTTTTAATTGTTTAATAAATTTTATATTATATATGAAAGCAATTGCCGTCGCGTTAGCCCTAACCGTATGGTCCGCCGGGCGACCGATGACTCCATTGGACGCCAACTCTGGGAATTGAGCGCCGATTTGGTTGCCCTCGAAACCCGACTTAACATTTGATTTGTGTTTTAAATTATTTTAATTAATAATAATTTGCAAACTTTAGATATGTTGAGCACAACATTATTAAATATTTTTGATAAATTATATAACTTAAGAATAATGTTCATTAAACTTAATTAATATTTAAATTTTATAAAGATCTGCACGCTATACATATTATGTATTTTATGATACTGTAGGTATAATAACAATAAATTAGGGCTGCCAACTATTGTCAGGGCACGGCAGGACAAAAAGTCAAAATTTAGGTTTGTCAGGAGGATATTAAAAATGTAGATTTTCAAAATGTTTAACACTTACACCATAATTGAAACGTAACTACAATTTGCTTTACAAAACTAATCTGTTTTCCTCCTAAAAAATATTTTTTTTAATTTAAAAATAATTTTTAATAGTTGCAAATAATTCTAATAAATTTAATAGATTAATTGAATATTATCTATAATTTTACAATAATTTCAGAATAAACATTACATTGTCCTCATGAGACCTCTGAAAGGACTGCTTTTGATGGCCCAATAGAAGGACAATCCTCCTAAAAGAGGACTGTTGGGCAGCCTTACAATAAATTTGTTTTATAATATCTATCATAATATAAATCATACTTTTAGTTTTGTAATAAAAAACGACTCGTTTTAATTGTCATGTAATTTTATAAACATTATTTTTAGACATTAATTTATATTGTTAGATTCATTAATGCTTAAGAAACCAGTTAAATTTAGATGTACTGTTAAAAATTTATTTAAAAAATATATCTATTGTATTTTAATAAATAATAAAACGTTTTTGAATTTACCGGTACTATGATAAAGTATTGAATTTTAAGTCTAGTTCAATAAATAATAAATAAACATAAGAAAATTTACAAAAATAAAATAAATAATATACATTACTTACTGTTAATAAACATGCATTTGAATAATATTATTGTAAAATGCTTTCATGTAGAAATGCACTCATATTACAAAACTGTAGGAATATTATTCAAATTGTTTAATTAAATTTGTAAAAAATCTATTTAACTTATAACATTGAAATAAAGTAAAATTAAAAAGAAACAATATTTTTTCATTAAAGTTTTGAGTACACTACTCATGGTATTACTTTATAATATACATGTATAAATTAATCTCTTACTGTATAGAATAGTATAGGGATATTCTATATATTATTAAGATTAACATACTTGTTTGTCTCTTATACAAATGGGTACTATGTAATTTGTTATATAATAATTTTATATTATAATAATAAACATTGTAAATTAATTTATAAGGATTTAATAATAATAATTAATTTAATAATAATTTATTATGAAATTCTTAGAAACTCTTATTCTTTAATTTAAAGATATTAATCCTTAATACATTTTAATAGTAAAGCTTGCAAAACATTATTTAACTCTGCTTTAACATTTATGTAATTGTATTAAACACTATCGTTTTATTGTAGTCATATAAAAGTAAAATAGAAAATACTTTTTAATTATACAGTGTTCATAGAGATTTATTTTATATATTTTATTAAAATTTAAATTTTTATATTATTTTGTACAATGTTATGAGTCGGTATTACTCATGTTATGAGTGGGTAGTTAGATAAAAAAATAAATAAAATAATATAGCTTTATTGAAAACAAATTTTATATAATATTCAATGAATATTCTCTGAGTAATGCATAACATAAATATTACGATGGGTATTATTGTGGCCATAGTACTGTTGATTTTAATTGCCTTGGTGGGCTTCATGG